CCCCAGCCTCGAGGTCCTTCACCACAGGACCCGAGGCCGAGTCCTTTCCCCAAGCCCCGACCCCACAAGACAAGGACGGAGCAGCCGCAAAAGCTGGAGGAAGGGGGGCCCACCGGTCAGACCCAGAAGCTTCGGCCGGGAGACAGGACTCGAATGCCTCTGTCGCCCCCCCCCCCAGAAGGGGCACCCCCGAAGCTGCCCGAGTCTCAAGATCAAGTAACCCCTGCTCCGACCCCGAAACCCTCAGACGCTTCGGGGCGGAAGCAGGGGGGGGGGGACCAGAACGAACAGAAGGGGAAGGACGAGGAGGTGCGGACTTAACCAGGATCGAAGCGACCCCCACCCCCAAGTCTGGGTCTCGAAAAGCAAAGCGGGGCAGCCCCGGGGCATCCGGGTGAGCAACCAACCGAGCGCGTTGCAACAGATGAAACCTTCTATAGCTGAACCCCAGGGACGTGTACACTCACGGGGACCTAGCAGGGGGCGCCACCGAGGAGAACAGTGGAAGGGCAAAAACAAACTGAAGAAAATGACAGAACCTCCCACCAGGCAAAAAGAAAAAGAAAAACAAAACCCCGCAAGAGGACAGCGAACCCCAAGGAACAGAGCCGGCCACGATGTCGGGAATACAAGCTGAGCAGCACCCTGCGCCCCTACCAGTGCAAACTGAATCTTACCTGCCGGTAACAAGGGAGAACAGAACACCCAAGAGCCCAACAGACGGCCGAAAAACCAAAAGGTAAAACGGACCAGCAGAGGCAGACCCCGAGGAGCCTGTGGAAGGTGGCCCCAAGCCCCAAGGGCAGTACTTACAGGGCACCTAGGGAAGGCAGCTCTAGGCGCATGCAGCCCGACTACTGAAGATAACTCCTGGCTCTCGCACCCACAAAACCAACACCACATGCAAAGCACAGTGCAGTAGCGACACCGGAGCCAGAGCACACGACCATCGCCTATAGCATCAGCCTCAAGAACTAAGGTGTGGGTAGCCGGCGTGGAGGGTCTGGGGCTCCCCCTTCCCCTCCCGGGGAGGGGGGGAGGAGCTGCGCAGACAGCGGCGCGGTGGTGTGTGACGTCACACTAGTTTGCTTGTTTTCGGTTGGGGAGTTCTATCCACTAGTTCGGCTTTTGGTAGCAATTTTAACCAGAATAGGGGTTTGTTTTGAGGTGCTTACCTTTCTGGGTGCCTGTTCCGGTCGATGGCAGACATAGAATGCTTCCAACCACACGGGGGCTTCTATAGGCCATTGTTACGGCCCTCTCGGGTCGCAACTGGGTTCGTACTCTGATGTCGTTAGAGGAAGTTGTATCCGGCCCCAAGCCAGTAGTGGCTTTTAAGGGATGAGATCTGTGACGCAAGTAAAATAAAAGGGGAAGGGAAAGAAAGGCAAAAACTTAAGATTATAATTACCTTCCCCAATAAGTAATATATAAAGTTACACAGGGGGAGGGGTATTAACACTACACAAGGGAAGTATATACATGGTTGTCTTCTCCTGAAGACGCGGGATCCTCTCGGTGCCGAGTCCTCGGTGCTTTCGTGGTCTCTTGACGAATCCTTCGATCAAGCTGAGTCTACCCCAGACACAGGCCAGCCAAAACACAGTTCCACTGGGGCACCGCCGTGGAGGCCGTCAACCACAAGTCCAGCAGAACAGCTGGCAGGTTCCGGATCAGCAACGCTGGTCAGGCCACTCCACGAGCGATACTAGGGTAGCGCCCTAGTCAGGAGCCTCGTGCGATACCACAAATCACTCTCCTGTCCTCAATACCCCAGTGGTCAATCGTCTCCAGCAGTCGGTCCCGGGTACGACAATCCTTCTACTGCCACTTCACTGGCAGGCTAACACCACAGTGTTCCTCCGGGAGGCGACTCACAGCTGCTGCAGCAAAGCACAAGGTATGGGGACGGCTGCCTTGGGTAGACTGCCATTGCTCCCCTTGCCTCTCTGAGGGGGGGCCCAGTTCTGACCGTGGTCCCCGGTAGGCCAAAGAACTCCATACACATGACTGATTCCAAAGTCTGACATTAGCATATTAGCCTGGGAAGCTCCGGGGAGCCGACGGGGCTCCCCCCAGAAAATATAGTGATTCAATTGTATAAATCTCATGTGTAGCCCCATTTGGACTACTGTATCCAAATATGGAGACCATATCTTCAAAGGACATAGCTGCTCTTGAGTAGGTGCAACATTGGGCAACGAAAATCATTCCAGAGCCACGTCATCTCTTGTATTTGAATGGTTGAGGGCCACAGGGATAACAACACTGAAAAATCATGCATGACAGGGCAGATCTTATTGAAACTTTTAAAATACTGAACAATTTGGAGGATATTGAGCCTGAAAATTTCTTCAAAAGGTCAAATGTAACAAAAACAAGGAGCAATAATTTCAAGCTCAACAAGCCACAACGTAGAACTGTGAACAGGAGATTCTTTTTCACTCAAAGGGTTATAAATCCATGGAACTGCCTATCCACTGAAGCCGTAAATGTGAAAACTTTGTTGAATTAAAAAAAAAAAACTAGAAATGATTGTCAAGGCAAATGATGAGACCTTCTAGAAACCACCGGCTTCCTGTTCACGTCGAGGCCATTATTGTTAGTGGCCCTCAGGTAAATTCAGGAAATTGTCATGATCAACATCTTCCAAATTGTTCAGTATTTTAGAAGTTTCAATGAGATTTGTCTTCAATGAGATTTAAGTTGTTGCCAATTGAATGTATTACATGCAACCTTTAATGAAATGACCTGGATTAATATCCTCAATTTTGTTTAGTATTGTATTTTAATACTTTAGTTTCTATGAGATTTGTCCTATCATGTCTAGTTTGCAGTGTTATTAGTGCTCTGACCCTTAGCCTTTCCTGGTATGAGAGTTGACTTAGTTCTGAGATGATTTTTGTCACTACATTGTACTTTCTTCACGGTAGATGTGTCCTTCTGAAGATGAGGTCTCCATGCTTGGATATAATAGTGCAGATGAGAGCTCACCAGAGATTTGTTCAGTTGAATAACCACATTCTGTTCCATGAAGTCAAAGGTTCCTTTGGCAATTCCTATGGTTTGGTAGACTGTGTGTGAGTAATTACCTAAGTGTGGTTACAGGATGAGAGCTATGCTCGTGGTGTCTCATCTTCCCAGCAATCTGTCATATAACGCTTTGAAACTACTGACGGTCTTGGCCTCGAATCTTCTCACCTAAACTAAGACTTCACAGGAAGTCTTCCCTATCAATTTTATCGATTCCTGTTACTGTCTTGTACATAGTGATCATATTGCCTCTTTATCTTCTATCTTCTAGTTTTGGCATATTTAATGCCTCTAACCTCTCCTCATAGCTCTTGCCCTTCAGTTCTGGGAGCCACTTAGTGGCATGTCTTTGCACCTTTTCCACTTCGTTGATGTGCTTCTTAAGATATGGGCACCATACAACTGCTGCATATTCTAAATTAAAATTCAAATTCAAATGTTTATTCAGGTAAAGTACATACATACAAGGGATAATACAAATATTGATGAATTTATAGATAGAGCCAGTACATGCAATGCCTAAAGCCACTATTACGCAAAGCGTTTCGGGCAGGAAAAACACTAAAGACTAAAATTTAATTCTAATTGAGATTAAAGAAGAAATTGTGTTGAGAAAATAAAAAAATAAAAAAGGAGAAACATGGGAAAAAAAGGAACATGGCAGAAAAACAGCAAATATACAATTTGGTCGACAAACAGCATTGTTTAAAAATAACAGACATGGGTTGACATTATAGGGGTAAGGTAGGTTACAGGGAGTTAATTAGGTAGTGCTTAGTTTTTATCTTAAACTGGTTGAGAGAGGTACAGTCTTTAACATGATTGGGAAGGTCATTCCACATTCTGGGTCCCTTGATTTGTAGAGCATTTCTAGTTTGATTAAGTCATACTCTTGGAATATCAAAAAGGTATTTGTTTCTAGCTTTGACCTAACAAAAGTCGTGAACAATTTCTTTGGTATTTTGTCATCCATGTATTTAAAAGTAATTCTGAAGTTAGAAAGCGTAGCATAGGTTCCTCGCACAACATTTCAGGGATGCCTGAAAAATCAGTTGAAGTGGAATGCTGAGCTCATGTGCACATTCTCTCAGAACCCATGGTGAAACTTCATCTGTGCCAACTTCTTTGCCCTTACTTAGCACCAATAGCATTTTTTTCACTTCATCTCTAGACACCTCTATGTGCTCTATGTTGTTCTCTGGAATTCTTATTGTGTCTGGTTCCCTGAGACTTCAATTTGTACAAACACACTTTGGAACTTTTTGTTTTGAACATACGTACGTTTTTGTACTTTGTACGTATAGTGATCAGTGTATATGTGTGAGTGTAATTACTTAAGTGTAGTTATAGGATGAGTGTAGGTGTAAATAAATAAATAAATAAATAAAATTCACACTGTAGGATAGAAAACAATTGGTGCATTATCATCCAAAGTGTTATAAACCCATGGAACTGCATACCATCCAATGCCATAACTGCCACAACGTTAACTTCATTTAAAAATCGTTAGAAAAATCCTCAAGAACAATGGAAGTATATTTGACAAGCTGCTAGCTTCCTGTGCCCATTGAGGTCACTAAAGAGATAGTGGCCTCTTGAGTAAATTCAGGTAAATAATTTACTTTTCTTCCATATATGGTTATATTGTATTTTAATTTGGGAAATATCTTTAGTGTGTTATCAGTCTGATATTTAAAAGCAATTAAACCATGTAGGGAAGATAATAAAGGTGTTTATGTATTGGTTTGAACCTTGTCTCTGGGAATGTTAGTTAAAGAGTTGAAAATTTAATATTGAATTAAAATCTGGTTAAATATACAGCAAAGACAGTTGGTCTGATTTGTTTGCACAATAAATTGACTCGAAGGGTTGTCTGAGGCTAATTGAAAACCTTTATAATATACTCAGCTATGCAAGTGCAGTGTAGTTTTGTAGAAGATGTATTAACCTTTTTTTCTTTGTGGCAGGTATTTTGGTATGTTACTTGGTGGGATCATCTGTCAACTGGTGGGTGTTAGCCTATGTAGGAGCAATCATTCCCTTGATCTTTACACTCATGATGTGCTTTGTTCCTGAGACTCCAAGATGGTGCATCTCCAAAGGTAAGGCTTCCTTTAAGAGTGTCAGTCACCTCTGGGAATTATATGAATAATGAATTTTACCACTTGCCCAATTATTAGTTTTCAGAGTTGCCTGAAACACAGTGTGATTAATGGCTTTATATAATTATTTACTGTGTGTGTAATCACCTAAGTGTAGCTACAGTATGAGAGTTATGCTCATTGTCTCACAGTTACTTGACCACTATGACAAAATCACTGAGGCATTAGAGGAAAAACATAATGCAGATGTCATATACACAGATTTTGCAAAGGCATTCGACAAATGTGACCATGGAGTGATTGCACACAAAATGAGGTCAATGGGTATAACTGGTAAAGTAGGACGCTGGATACTCAATTTCCTGTCGAACAGAACACAAAGAGTAACAGTCAATCAAGTAAAATCGAGTCCGAGCGCAGTTAAAAGCTCTGTACCTCAAGGTACAGTCCTTGCACCACTGCTGTTCCTTATTCTCATATCAGATATAGACAAAAACACAAGTCACAGCTTCGTGTCATTCTTTGCAGATGATACAAAAATCAGCATGAAAATTACCTCTGCTGAAGACATTAATAAACTACAAACAGATACTGTATTAACAAAGTTTTCGATAGGGCAGCAGAAAATAACATGATGTTTAACGGTGATAAATTCCAGGTACAGTACTCAGATACGGCAAAAATGAGGATCTTAAACATAATACAGGGTACAAAATACAATCGAATCTGCCCATAGGAAAACAGCATGTCAAGGATTTGGGAATAATGATGTCTGACGACCTAACATTTAGGGAGCATAACCAAGCAAGTATTGCATGAGCCAGAAAAATGATTGGATGGATTACGAGAACCTTCAAGTTCAGAGATCCCATCACAATGGTTGTACTCTTCAAATCACTTGTGTTGTCCCATCTTGAGTACTGGTCAGTACTCACTTACCCCTTCAGAGCAGGTGAGATTGCTGAAATTGAGGGAATACAGAGAACATATACGGCACGCATAGACAAGATAAAGCACCTAAATTATTGGGATCGTCTCAAAGCTCTCCAAATGTACTCACTAGAAAGGAGACAAGAGAGATACCAAATAATATACACATGGAAAATACTGGAGGGACTGGTCCCAAATCTGCACAGTAAAATAACAACGTACTGGAGTGAACGACATGGAAGAAAATGCAGAATAAAACCAGTGAAGAGCAGAGGTGCCATGGGCACAATCAGAGAACACTGTATGAACATCAGAGGTCCACGGTTGTTCAACGTCCTACCAGCAAGCATCAGAAATATTACAGGAACAACCGTGGACATCTTCAAGAGGAAACTAGATTGTTTCCTTCAAGGAGTGCCGGACCAACCGGGCTGTGGTGGGTATGTGGGCCTGCGGGCCGCTCCAAGCAACAGCCTGGTGAACCAAACTCTCACAAGTCAAGTCTGGCCTCGGGCTGGGCTTGGGGAGTAGAAGAACTCCCAGAACCCCATCAACAAGGTATCAACCAGGTATGGTGCCCCATCTTCCCAGCACTCTTTGTCATATAACGCTTTGAAACTACTGATAGTCTTGGCCTCCACCACCTTCTCACCTAACTTGTTCCAACCATTTACCACTCTGTTTGTGTAAATGAATTTTCTTGTACTGTATACATAGAAAATCACATTAACATGATATACTGCACATCAATGAAAAAAATCCACTGGGGTTGTGAGGTGACGCAAACCAGCGACCAAGGCATTGGCAGCCACATACACTACCACTGTACCAACACTGACCTGTTAAAGTCATACAACTTAATTTCTACTGAAATCACAGAATGTCTGGAGGCCCTCCCCTAAAGCCAGTCCAAATATTATGTATGATTCCCAAGCACTCGGGTGAAGGGTAAAGCAGTTCAAGTAAAAATAGGTGTTTAATTACATTCAACACTTGTTATTATTAAAAGGAATAACTCAAAACAGGTAATTTTCTATCATTATTTCCAACATTGTGTAATAACTTTGCTGTGTCAATGATGTTTTAGTCTTCACATCATACCATTTCAACCTGGATAATTATAGGAACAGAGTTAGTTAATTAATGAAGCATAACCCACTGTTGTACTTCATCACCATGGCAGAAGCATACAGTACACAATACCATGTGATAATGATGAACAAGTATACATGTATAAAAATTCAGAAACCTAGATGGTAAGAGTTATAATAACAAGGATGAGAAATTCAATTGGAGCAATGTGGGGATTCAAACTTTTCAACCTGGGTCCTCCCAAGCCACACACCTTGCCTCTGCACCATGACATGGTACAAGTTATACAACCTGGGATTCCACCAAATCTACAAGCTGTCTGGAGGCTCCTACTGAAGTTTAGTTTAGTTCATTTATTATGCACCCCATACCCTCCTACTGAAGCCAGTCCAGGTTTTACACACAACCCCCATGCACTCTTATATAGATAATGGAGTTCTCCACCATACACTCCTGCTTCAAATACACAAGAAATTCACATTAGTCAGATTTCCCAGAATAATAATAATTACTTATAGCCAGTGTTTATTTTTCATTATACTACTAGAAATCCAACATTCTACCTGTAACTCATTTTGTATATATATGTACTTTTCCTTAAGTACCGCCCATCATCCTGTTTTGGTAATCCTAAAAGTAATGATGACGACCATAGTATATGGTACCACATGTTATGTGGTATATGATACCACATAGTATATGATAACACATGTTACCACATATCATTCAGGCAGCTACCCAAACTCTTTTCTCCTCTCACCGATCAGCCCTACAGATGTTGTGTCCATCATTCACTCACTAAAAACCAAAACTGGAAACATTAGTGAAATACCATCCATGGTTTACAAGAGTGCCTCCCATGCCCTTGCACCACCCAAAGCTTTGCTGTTCAATAAATCTCTAGAGTGTCATACCTTCCCTGATATCCTTAAAAAAGCAAGAGTAACACCAGTTCATAAAGGAGGCAATACGGCAGACATAAATAATTACAGACCCATATCAAATCTACCTATATTATCAAAAATATTTGAAAAAATTATCTACAAACAGCTCTACTCCTATCTTGTAAAATTCAATACACTAAGTCCCTGTCAGTTTGGCTTCTGCTCCCAAAAGAGTACCAATGATGCAATTGTTAGTCTGCTTGACTTAATCTACTCAGTCCTTGACAAAGTGAGTTTTTGATTGGACTCTTCATTGACCTGAGAAAGGCTTTTGATACTGTTAACCATAACTACCACTTACTTAAACTCCACCATTATGGAATCCGAGGCCTTGCCCTGAACTATATCCAATCCTATCTTAGTGACAGACATCAATATGTAGCCATCAATGATATAACCTCTCCCACTCTACCACTAACCAGAGGGGTGCCACAGGGCAGCATCCTAGGACCCCTCCTATTTCTTATTTACATCAGTGATCTGCCTAATCTCTAACATGCTTAAACCTATATTGTTTCCTGATGAAACTAACCTCATCTACTCTGACCCAATGCACTCATATTAAATTATGTTGTAAACAATGAATTAAAAATGTCCACTTATGGATGTCAACCAACAAACTCACACTAAACATAGAAAAGACCTAGTACATCTTATTTGGAAGCAAATCAACAAATGCAATACAGCTTCAGATAGATAATGTTAACATTAGCAGTAAAAATGATGGAAAGTTCCTTGGCCTATACTTAGACAAGAGACTCAACTTTAGCACCCACATACAACACGTAACTAAAATGATTTCTAAAACAGTTGGTATATTCTCTAAGATCAGATATTATGTACCTTACTCTGCTCTCCTATCACTCTATTATGCACTTATCTATTCCTATCTTACACATGAACCCTCGTCACGGCCCTTGTGGATTTGTTTATCCCTATCTTACTTATGATAACTGTGTATGGGGTTCAACCTCTGCAAACTACCTCAAGCCCATCATCACCCAGCAAAAATCTGCTATCAGGATAATAACAAACTCTGCTTTCAGACAACACACAGCTCCCCTGTTTAAATTCCTAAACATGCTAAACATAAATTCACTCCATACATTTTCTTGTATCAGTTACATTTATAAAACCCTTTTCTCAAGTGCAAACCCTGTTCTGAAACTCTTCCTTGATAGATGTAATAGATCACAAACTCACCACACCAGACATAAATATCTCTTTGATATCCCCAGAGTCAAACTTAATCTGTGTAAACACTCTATGCAAATAAAGGGACTTAGTCTGTGGAACTCACTCCCTAATGAATTGAAAATCTGTCCAACTTTTGCCTTATTCAAAAATAAAACCAAAAAGTATCTAATTTCATCTTCATAGTTTCCTACCTAGTGCTTTAACTCACACTGTATCTAGTGCTACCCAATCCCCCAACGTTTGTACCTAATTAGCCATATTACTTTACCATTATAATCTTAGATATCATCTGATATCATAGTTGTTATATTGAGTGCATATTCTATTGCATTATTCCTTGAAATGATCCTCAAATTGTGCTTCAGTGAACCAATGTATAACCCTGAAATTTTTATCCTAATGCACCTAGTAATCCTTGTTCATTTTAGTGTATTGTTATTATTGTGTTTTATTCTAATCTTTGTTTTTGTGTCAAAATTTCTTACAATGTACCTCTAAATATTTTTTGTAAATTTTACTGTAATCTATCTGCTTAAAATTATCTGTTAGTTTAAGGACTTGCCTGAAATGCTATGCATGCTAGTGGCTTAATTACAAGAATGTAAAATTAACATCATTTCTATGCTCTCTCTTAACCCCCAATGTACCTTCTTGTATATAAATAAATAAATAAGTAAAATAAATAAATATATATACCGATATACAAAAAAATTAGAATGTATAAATCTGAACTATTGAGCTGGACAAACCAGAAAACTATTTTTTACTTGTGTTGCTTTCACAAATTAAACTAACCTATCCTAACCTGCCTAGGCCTAATACACGATATTTGAGGTCTAAAAGTACACATGTGTGCTATACTAGGCCTAGGAATATTTAAGTTTGTTTATTGCTTCATTTATTTTAAGAGAATTCCCTACCAATCGGTATACTATCTAAAAGCTAAATACGTATCAATTCTGTCTATTGAGGATTGTCACAATAGGTACAATCTAAACAGGAGGATGGGTTGCAAAATAAGATTATCACTATCATATCATTATTATTATTATTACATAGATACATGGTATAGCATTGCTTTTTTTTACAAACATAAGTTTGCTTCAAACATGCTTGCCATGCCATTAATGCTTGTCACACAAGGTCAAAGAACAACACCCTATGAACTTGTTGGATGCTAAATTCATCATCAAAGAGGGAAATACAGTAACATTATTATAAAAAAATAGAGTACATTATATTGTAATCAATTACAATCAATGTACTCAAGGCTACAGTATCAATTCTGATTGAAATTACCTACTTAAAATTATCTGCTAGATTAACACTTTCGCGCTCTCCACAAAGGTCACTCAGCCAACCGAATGTGCGCGCTGCGTTTTTATCGCTTAAGCGTAAAAACAAAAATGTGTATACTCTTTTTACTCCTCTGACCTTAGTTCTCATGCTACCTATTTCATTTTGGTACCAACGTGTTCGCAATAAAATTCTCTAGAAGAACATCAATAAAATAAGTCACGAAACATATAGGCATACCAGCACCAAATAAATAACTACGTAGATGACTCGCAGTGAGCGCCCATCAGCAACAAAATGTTTTTACTCTTGGGATTGTAATCACCTCCACACTTGTTCTACAGCATTAATTTTAGTATCAATGGACTCGCAATGAAATTCCCAACACGGTGATATGAATATAAGCGTAGAATAATGATGCAACCCGCCCGCAAGAGTGTGGGAAGTGGTGAAATTGTTACCCGGTATCGGTGATGGGACGACGCACGGCGCTTTGAAAGTTTATACTTATTTCACTCTCATGACATTAATTTTCTATGTACGTCATTCATTTTTATGTCAATGTGTTCGCAATAGAATGTTCTATGTGCCCATAGGTAAAAAAGATCAACAAAGCGTAAGTTAGAATAGCGACAAATATAAAACAACGCTGGAACATATCAGTGAGCGTCAAACACACACGAAATATTTTTACTTTTGTTATGTTTGTCAAGTTTATACTTGTTGCACACAGTTATTTCTGGTTGTATATTGATCGGAATAAAATTCCCTAAACAGACATATGCATATAATACATGATATGGGGGAAGAATTACCAGTATAAACGGCTAAAGTCACCCACCTGCAACCCGTTTGGGACAAAATACCATTTGATCGAAGTTATCCACACCTTTCATGAACTTATTGTACCATGCAGCCTAGTGGTGAGAAAGAGAGCCTCATAGCGCGCAGTTTGAAACAAACCCAAAGTAAATCGGATAAAAATTGAATTTTATACAAATATTTTAAAAGTAGACATAACTTTATGTCCACTATGCGTTTACGTTAAACGAAACCGAACGCGCCGGCGCGTCCAGATAGCGCGAAAGTGTTAAGGACCTGCCCGAAACGCTGTGCGTACTAGTGGCTTTACAGGAATGTAAATACTGTACTATCCAATGTATTCTCACAAACCCAATGTACCTTCTTGTATATATATAAATAAAATAAAATAAAATAAAATAAATTGAGTCAGTAAGCAAACACTACATCACTGACTCACCATCAACCAGAATGAAGGAAAATTCAACATTGCTATATCTGTTTACAGAGTAATTCTTAAAATATATAAATTATAACACATAAGCCTAATGCCTCATATGTCGCCTAACCACACTTACGCCTTACTGACTTCCCTACACCTTCACCCTTGCTATATTTTTTTCTTTATGAACACTATAGCCCTGTGTGTCTGATAGATATAATTAAGCCTTTGCAGGCAAACCATCGCCTGCAAGTAATATCAACACTCATCTTGGTGTTTCTATGTATCCTTGGCAACACTTTGTCTTCTCATCAGTATACTGCACATAAATGAAGCAATGTGATTGTATAAAGAGGGAGATTTACTAAAAATATGGCTACAGTATTAGTGATTAGTCAAAAAAAAAAAAAGAAATTATTCATAAAAATTGTTTTATAACTAATAAATTATATTTCTAATCACGAATGTTCTTATTTGGTTAGGCCGTGTGGATGATGCCCGCTGCTCCTTACAGTGGCTTCGTGGGTCTGACTCTGATGTTGAATATGAACTTGAAGCAATCCAGATGAACTTTGAGATGGCAAGCCAGGAGACATCAACATTGAAAGACATATTTAATAAATGCTACGTCCGCCCCTTCCTATTATCATTAGGTCTTATGCTCATCCAGCAGCTGTCAGGCATCAATGCTGTCATCTTTTACACTGTTTCCATATTTGAGATGTCTGGGTCAACCATTAGTGGTCACCTGTCCACCATCATTGTGGGTGTTGTGAATCTTCTAGCCACCTTCATTGCCAATGCACTCATTGACAAACTGGGACGGAAAATTTTGCTCCACATTTCCAGTGGCCTTATGGTCTTATCTCTGGTGTCCCTTGGCACCTTCTTCTACCTCAAGGTAACTTGTGCAACAATAATTTTGTACATTTGCATTTTTTTTAAATTAGAGATCAGAAATGACAATAATATTACGATGTGTGATGAAGCCCAAAGGTGAAATTCAAATAAAATATGTTGATTGTTCATGATTGATTTTTATGTACTATAACAGTTCTTGTGGTGCAGGGACTGTTCTATACACTATAGTGATAGCATGCAGAATGAGCATGCTATCACTATAACATGTTCATTCTGCATGCTTGTGAGTGATATCAGCTCGGGTTCAAGCCCTGGACAGAGAGGAATGACTGGCCACTGATCCTTTAATAATAATAATAATAATAATAATAATAATAATAATAATAATAATAATTAATATTATTATGAGAACATAAGTAGGAGCCATAGGGATTATCATTATTATTATTGCCCACGAAATGCTATGCCCAAAATGCTCGAAACTGCCCGAAATTTTATGTGTGTTAGTGGCTTTGCAAGAATGTAAAAATACCAACATTATGTACAATCACAAACCCAATGTACCATCTTGTAAACAAATAAACAAATAAATAAATAAATTGCACAATAAAATCAAATAAACGTGATGTATCAGAGAAAATCAGCAGGAGCCATGAGTAATTACCTAAGTGTAATTACCTAAGTGTAGTTACAGGATGAGAGCTACGCTCGTGGTGTCCCGTCTTCCCAGCACTCTTTGTCATATAACGCTTTGAAACTACTGACGGTCTTGGCCTCCACCACCTTCTCACTTAACTTGTTCCAACCGTCTACCACTCTATTTGCGAAGGTGAATTTTCTTATATTTCTTCGGCATCTGTGTTTAGCTAGTTTAAATCTATGACCTCTTGTTCTTGAAATTCCAGGTCTCAGGAAGTCTTCCCTGTCGATTTTATCAATTCCTGTAACTATTTTGTATGTAGTGATCATATCACCTCTTTTTCTTCTGTCTTCTAGTTTTGGCATATTTAATGCTTCTAACCTCTCCTCGTAGCTCTTGCCCTTCAGTTCTGGGAGCCACTTAGTAGCATGTCTTTGCACCTTTTCCAGTTTGTTGATGTGCTTCTTAAGATATGGGCACCACACAACAGCTGCATATTCTAGCTTTGGCCTAACAAAAGTCATGAACAATTTCTTTAGTATATCGCCATCCATGTATTTAAATGCAATTCTGAAGTTAGAAAGCATAGCATAGGCTCCTTGCACAATATTCTTTATGTGGTCCTCAGGTGATAGTTTTCTATCTAGAACCACTCCTAGATCTCTTTCTTTATCAGAATTCTTTAAAGATTTCTCACATAATATATAGGTTGTGTGGGGTCTATGTTCTCCTATTCCACAATCCATAACATGACATTTATTAACATTAAATTCCATTTGCCAAGTGGTGCTCCATATACTTATTTTGTCCAGGTCTTCTTGAAGGGCATGACAGTCATCTAAATTTCTTATCCTTCCTATTATCTTAGCATCATCAGCAAACATGTTCATATAATTCTGTATACCAACTGGTAGATCATTTATGTACACAATAAACATCACTGGTGCAAGAACTGAACCCTGTGGTACTCCACTTGTGACATTTCTCCATTCTGATACATTGCCTCTGATTACTGCCCTCATTTTTCTATCAGTCAGAAAATTTTTCATCCATGATAGAAGCTTACCTGTCACCCCTCCAATATTTTCCAGTTTCCAGAACAACCTCTTATGTGGAACTCTGTCGAAAGCCTTTTTTAGGTCCAGATAGATGCAGTCAACCCAACCATCTCTTTCCTGTAATATCTCTGTGGCTCGATCATAGAAACTGAGTAAATTCGATACACAGGATCTTCCAGATCGAAAACCATACTGCCTGTCTGATATATCATTTCTCTCTAGGTGTTCTACCCATTTAGTTTTGATTAGTTTTTCCAATAGTTTCACTATTACACTTGTCAATGATACAGGTCTATAATTGAGGGGGTCTTCCCTGCTGCCACTTTTGTAGATTGAAACTATGTTAGCCTGTTTCCACCCGTCTGCTACGATTCCTGTACACAGGGATGCCTGAAAGATCAGGTGAAGTGGAATGCTGAGCTCAGATGCACATTCTCTCAGAACCCATGGTGAAACGCCATCTGGGCCAGCTGCTTTGTTCTTACCGAGCTCCTTGAGCATTTTTTCCACTTCGTCTCTAGACACCTCTATGTGTTCTATATTGTTCTCTGGAATTCTTATTGTATCTGGTTCCCTAAAGATTTCATTTTGTACAAACACACTTTGGAACTTTTCGTTTAGTGTTTCACACATTTCCTTTTCATGTTCCGTGAATCTATTTCCCATTTTCAACCTCTGAATATTATCCTTTACCTGCAATTTGTTGTTTATGAATTTATAGAATAGACCTGGTTCTGTTTTACATTTGTCCGCAATCCCTTTTTCAAAATTTACTTTCTGCCTCTCTCCTCACTGCCGTGTAGTTGTTTCTCGCATCTTTGTATCGCTGGTATGTTTGGGGGTTCGACCTCTTCCTGTATTGATTCCATTTTTGTGTCTTTTGGTCTCTAGCCCTCTCGCAATTTCTATTGAACCAATCCTGTTTCCTAGTTCTGCATCTCTGTTTTGGTATAAATTTTTTTGTGCCTTTATCATATATTTCACAAAACTTGCCATACATCTCATTCACTTTCTTGCCTAGCATCAAGTCTGTCCAATTATACTCACTAAAAAAATTTCTAAGGTCACCATAATGTCCTCTCCTGAAGTCTGGTTTTTCAACTGCTTCAACCTCCTTATTTTCTTCCAGCTTATAACGCATTGCATACTTTATTCCCAAAAAGACATGGTCACTTTTACCCAAGGGAGGAAGGTACTGAATGTCAAATATCTCTTCCTCCTTCCTGGTAAATATCAAATCTAGCATGGAGGGAACGTCCCCTTCCCTCATCCTCGTAGCTTGTTTAACATGTTGATACAAGAATGTTTCCAGGATGAGGTCTACAAATTTACAGGTCCAAAAATCTTCTGTTTTAGCTTCATATGCTTCCCAGTCTATGGATTTCAAGTTGAAGTCACCGACTATCAACAGTCGTGATCTATCGTTATCCGCTCTCGCTATAATCTCTCTCATTATTGTTATAAGACCTTCACGTTTACTATCTAGCTCCTCCTTTGACCATGTGCTGCTTGGCGGTGGACTATATGCATTTATCATCATTAGTTTATCATCCTCATAGCAGATCTCTAGTGCTATTATGTCAACTTCTTGTGGATTGGCAGTCATTATTTCCTTCACCTTTAGGTGTTCTTTTACCAGCACAGCAACGCCACCGCCTTTCCTAATTTTTCTGTCCCGTCTCCAAATTGAGTAGCCCCTTGGGAATATGACCTCATTTAAAATTACATCTTCAAGTTTTGTCTCCGTGAGTGCAACAATGTCTGGTGTCTGCAGCTGTATTACATCACTTAACTCCAGTATCTTCGATCTCACTCCATCTATGTTGGTGTATGCAATCTTCAGGAACTTGTTCCCCCTCTCCTTATTCTTCACTCCCCCTCTCTCTATTGATTTTGTTGGTTTGCCTTTATGTACCACTTTACTGGTTTGCCTACCCCTATCACTTTGTAGAAAAAAGAATTTATTTCTTCTTCATTCCTGCTCTCATTTAAATGTTTTGCCTCGGCGAGGTTCAGTTTCAGCTTCTCTCTATCTTCTTTTGAAAGATCTCGTCTTAACGACCACCCTTTCCCATCCTCATCACTTTGCAATTTTCTAGCATTCCTTAGTACTTCTTCCATCTGTTGTTGTATGTTGTTGTACTTCCATGAGTGGTGTAGGACGTGTGCTTGGGAGTATCAGGTGTGTTGGTTCAAATCCTACTTGTGGCACCTACTGATTTTCTTAATACATCACGTTAATATGATGTCATTGCATTTGAAGAGAAGCATTGGAGGTAAAACTGGACACAACCAGAGATCATGAGGGCAATGCGTGGAAACCCTAGTTGGGCTTCAGTGGAACCCTCAGAATTCTAGAGGATTCAGTTGAATCCTAGGTTGCATTGCTTTTGTCCATGTAGTGTAGTGGTCTAAGGTGTGTGCTGCGAGTACGTAGTGTGCAGGTTTGAATCCTTCTCAAGGCTCATACTGATTTTCTAATTATTATTTATTATTATTTCATTCATAAAATATGCATGCATGCAAAAATAACACAAATATATATAAGAATCTTGAGGTTATCTTGAGATGATTTCGGGGCTTTTTAGTGTCCCCGTGGCCCGGTCCTCGACCAGGCCTCCACCCCCAGGAAGCAGCCCGTGACAGCTGACTAACACCCAGGTACCTATTTTACTGCTAGGTAACAGGGGCATAGGGTGAAAGAAACTCTGCCCATTGTTTCTCGCCGGCGCCTGGGATCGAACCCAGGACCACAGGATCACAAGTCCAGCGTGCTGTCCGCTCGGCCGACCGGCTCCCAGAAGGTAAGGGGTTGCACGTTAAATAAAGGCACTACTGTGCAAAGAATTTTCTGCAAAATAAATGGTTAAATTTTTTTACAGGTATAGTGGGGTAAACTCTTAATAATAAATGAGAAGTAAGTTACTGTAACACACAAGATTTTCAAGAAATTTAACAAATGATGTACAATATTTAGGTGATAATATTGATAAGCATTGACTATTGCATTATAGAATCTGTAATTTAAGCAACAGTACAGATATAGTATTTAACATTATTGATATAGTAATAGTAAAAATATATAAAAGGTGTACTTTAGTAAATCTACTGGTACATTGAGCATTTTGGTCATAATATTAAACTAAGTTTTTCTGATTTATTTTATCAGGTAAACCACATAATTTATTTATTTATTTATATGCAAGAAAGTACATTGGGTTTATGAGAATACAGAGACTTGAAGTTTTACATTCTTGTAAAGCCACTAGCATGCAGAGCATTTCGGGCAGATCCTTAATCTTACATACAGTATAATTTTAAGAAGAAAAATTTCTAGCAAAATTAAAAAAATGTTTATAGGCTGTACATTATAAGAAAGTATAAAAATACACTGTAAGAAAGTATCAAAATACATTGTAGGAAAGTATAAAAAATACATTGTAGGAAAGTATAAAAAATACATAGTATAAGAAATTTGACAGAAAAATAAGTAGGTACACTAAAGTAAATTTCTAAGGGTTATCCCACAGGTACATTTTAGCATAATTTGAGGATTATTGTAAGGTATAATGTAGGAAACTATGTGTATAACATGATATAAGATAACAGCAATGATTACAATGGTAAAGTTGCATGGCATAGGTACATATGTTGGGAAATTGGGTAGCACTAGATACAGTGCAAATTTCAAGCACTAGATAGGAAACTATGAAGATGAAATTAGGTATTTTTTGGTTTTATTTTTTAATAAGGCAAAAGTTTGACAGCTTTTCAATTCATTAGGAGTGAGTTCCATAGACTAGGTCCCTTTATTTGCATAGAGTGTTTACACAGATTAAGTTTAACTTTGGGGATATCAAAGAGATATTTATTTCTGGTGTGGTGATTATTTGTTCTATTACATCTGTCCAAGAAGAGTTTCAGAACAGGGCTTGAACTTAAGAACAGGGTTTTGTAAATGTAATTGACACAAGAGAATTTGTGGAGTGAGGTTATGTCTAGCATGTTTAGGGATTTAAATAGGGGGGAAGAGGTGAGTATTGTCTGAAAACCGAGTTTGTTATTGTTCTGAGAGAAGATCTTGCTGGGGTGATGATGGGCTTGAGGTAGTTTGCAGAGGTTGAGCCCCATACACAGATACCATAAGTAAGATAGAGATAGATTAGTGCATAGTATAGTGAGAGGAGAGCAGAGTTTGGAACATAATATCTGATTTAAGAGAGTATACCAACCGTTTTTGAGACTTTCTTGGTTATATGTTGTATGTGGATGCTGAAGTTGAGTCTATTGTCCAAGTATAGGGCAAGTAATAATAAAAAAAAGAGTAAGCATATATCATTCGAATAAGTAATTTAACAAATGAGATACATTAAATAGTCGACAATGATGAAAAGCATAGGACTAAATTTTTAGTATATAAGATTTAAAATTACAGCAAAACACACGTTAGACATACTGCTTTTAACACACACACACACAAACAGACATACAGCTTTTAATTACATTCTGGAGGTCATTCTGCATTTTGGGATCCTTGATTTGCATAGCATTTCTACTTTGATTGAGTTTTGCTCTAGAAATATCCAAAGAGTATTTGTTTTTTATTTGCCGGCCATGGGTTTTGTTACCATTTAGTAAGGCCTTACAGTCAGGATTAGCTTTGTAGTGCAGAGTTGTAGAGTACATGGGATACCATGAGCTTAGCTCTTATCCTTTGACTACAGTTAGGTAATTATGTACTTGAGTGGATGTTCAGTGACTTGATATTTAACAGTAATAGGTTGTAAATTAGTTGGAAGATTGTGTTTCATAGAAAAGTAAAAATGTGAGCTGTAGGATGAATGAGCTTCTATCAAACCAACTGAGTTATGTGGTGGGTGTTCCCATGTAAGCGCTCTAGATAACTAGACCACAACATGGTATAAGGATTGCAACCTGGAGTTCTGCTGAATACACGAGGGTTTCCCGAGGTTTCCATTGAAGCTGGACCAGGATTTTCACATAATTCCCCATGCACTCTGGCTCTGTCATCCAGGAATGTTCTACATCTGATGCTTTCTCTTTCAACTGAAAGAGGAGCATCAGAGGTAGAACATTCCTAGATGACAGAGCCAAAGTGCATAGGAAAATTGTATGAAAATCTGTGTCCAGCTTCAGTGGAAGCCTCAAAAATTGGAAGTGGAAGTGGAAGCCTCGTGTATTCAGTAGAACTCCAGGTTGCAATTTTTATACCATGTTGTGGTCTAGTCATCTAGAGCATGTACGTGGGAACACCCACCACATAGGTTCAAACCCTCATCACGGCTCCTATGGATTTAATTATAAATATACAATGGCGCCTCAATTAACAAGTTTAATCCATTCCGGCACCGAGCTCGTCATGTGGAAAACTCGTCTTTATAAATGAATTTCCCCATTTAAAATAATGGAAATAAAATTAATCTGTTCCACCACCGCAAAACATCAATATTATATTCGATTATTTAAACAATGGAGCAGCCTACCTGACATACACTGAATGAACCTTTGTCACATTTGTCCATTTTTCAATTTTGTTCACTTTTTTTTATACCAAAAGGTTCGTTCAATGTATGTCAGGTAGGTTGCTTCATTTTTCTTAAAAAAAAAAAAAATGAAAAAATTGAAAAAGAACAAATGTCAAAAAGATTCATTCAGTGTTTGTCAGGTAGGCTGCTCCATGTTTCTTAAAAAAAAAAAAAAAAATTGAACAAATTTGAAAAATGGACAAATGTCATAAAGGTTCATTCAGGGTTTTCAGGTAGGATGCTCTATTATGACAATCTTTCTTTGTTTCAAATGTGTTCAATTCGTTTTGTTTTTTCATTTATTTATTAATAATGGAGCAGCCTACCTGACACACACTGAACAAACCTTTACGACATTTGTTCGTTTTTCATTTTTTTTTTTTTTTTAAGAAACATGGAGCAGCCTACCTGACAAAAACTGAACAAACTTTTTTGACATTTGTTCTTTTTCAAATTTTTTCATGTTTTGTTAATTCTACAAAAAAAATTCAGTGCTTTGCAACATCACAGCAGTCACCCCTTTACATCCCAGCATCATTAGCATCTTTAAAACAAAAAAAAACATTTATTTGCATCGTCGGAGGTGACCGAGAATGTGCGAGAATCAGTGGGAATGCTAGGAAGCACCACATGGTTGTCTCATTAATGGAGAGGAAGCTCATCAATCGAGACAAATTTTTGGCGAGTGGCTCGCTCGTTACTCAAAATGCTCGTAGATAGAGCCACTCGTCACTTGAGGTTCCACTGTATTTAATTATATATAATAATAATAATAATAATATAATTTATTTAGGAACAGTACATACATAGTTGCAGCATTACAGTACAAACATTCTGTTAGATTTAAAGATAGAGGTAGTACATACACTACCTAAAGCCACTAGTACACATAGGGTTTCGGGCAAGGAGAGGTGGGGAAAAAACACTTAGACTAAAATTTAATAGTAATTGAGCTTAAAGTATAAATTGTGTTGAATGAAAAAAAAAAATAATAAAAGATAAAAAAAAAGGGGGAAACATGGTAGAAAATAGCCAATATACAAGTTGGTCAACAGACAGCACTTTTTTTTTTTTTTAAATAGTAAGACTTGGGTTGACATTTAGAAGTAAGGTAGGTTACATGGAGTTAATTAGATAGTACTTAGTTTTCATCTTAAACTGGTTGAGAGAAGTACAATCTTTAACATAAGTGGGAAGGTCATTCCACATTCTGGGTCCCTTGACTTGTAGAGCATTCCTAGTTTGATTAAATATAACTCTTGGAATATAAAATAGGTATTTGTTTCTGGTGTGGTGCACATGAGTTTTGTTACAACCTTCTAGGAAGCATTGAAGGTCAGGATTGACATTACAATTCAGAGTTTTAAATATATATAATACACATGAGAGGATGTGCAGTGACTTAATATCTAACATATTCAGAGATTTGAGTAAGGGTACCGAGTGATGTCTGGGGCCAGAGTTAGATATTGTTCTAATAGTAGCTTTGTGTTAGATAATTAGAGGACGTAAAGGATTTTGGGTAGTAGAACCCCAAGCATAAATACCATAGTTGAGATAAGGATAAATGAGAGAGTAATGGAGCGTACCAGAGCAGAGCGAGGAACGTAATATCTGATCTTAGAAAGAACGCCAACAGTTTTAAAAACTTTTTTTGCCATATTTAGAATGTGTCCCTGGAAATTCAGCTGAGGACACCAAGGAATTTACCATCAACTTTACTACTGATTTGTGTATTGTTTATTCTTAAATTAATTTCATTTGAGGATTTATTACCAAACAAAATATAGAAAGTTTTGTCAATGTTAAGGGTGAGTTTGTTAGCAGTTAGCCAAAGATGGACTTTATTTAGTTCAGTATTCATAGTGACATTTAGAGCAAGAGGGTCAGGACTGGAGAAGATGAAAGTTGTGTCATCAGCAAATAAGATTAGTTTTAGGTGTTGAGAGGGATTTGGGAGGTCATTAATGTATATGAGAAAGATGAGAGAGGTTGCGAGGGATTTGGGAGGTCATTAATGTATATGAGAAAGATGAGAGAGCCAAGTTTGCTGCCCTGTGGAACACCGATGTTTATAAGTAGAGTCGGAGAAATGGAATTATTCACAGAAACATACTGAAGCCTGTCATATACTGTATATGTATGTATGTATGTATGTATGTATGTATGTATGTATGTATGTATGTATGTATGTATGTATGTATGTATGTGTATATATATATACCCACAGTTTTATTTATTTTAAGCTTAGGTCCACAACAGTGTGCTGCTATTCCATTCTATGAGAGGAATTACAGAGAATAGGTCACGGTTTGTTTGAAGCTCACAATTGCTAAAGTACTGATCACATCTGTTTTTAGGGGTGCCATAATCAAAATATTGTGGGCAATGAATCCACTTATCAAACTTGTTATTCGAATTGGTTTCTGCAAACATATCTTTAATTATACATTACATAAATTTCATTGTTCTAAATTACTTCTCAGCATTACCAAGATAATTTTTTTTTTATAGACCACAGTAGAGAAGGTTGGCGATTTGGATGAACCTCACCCGTGGAAGACTGCAGTGGAGAAGCTGGCATGGTTACCACTAGTTAGCTTCATGGTCTATGTGATAGCCTTCTCCCTGGGCTGGGGCCCCATCCCCTGGCTCTTCATGGGTGAAGCACTCCCTGCCAAGATCAGAGGTCCTGCTGCCTCTGTCATAACAGCATTAAACTGGTCATGCACTTTTCTCATCACCAAGACTTTTCCAGGAATGGTTGAAGTCATGGGGCCCTCGTATGTATTTTATATGTTTAGTGGAATCATGACTATTGGCGCATTGTATGCCATTTTCTTCATTCCTGAAACTAAAGGCAAGACCCTTGAAGAAATTGAGGAGGAGCTGTCTGGGAGGAGAGCTAAACGCAACAGGAAGATCAGCACCTTTTCTGGTATTCAGATGTAATATACTATGCTGAAGTAGTTCCTTCTCTTTAATGTGTAGGGTGGTGCTGGACTGTGAAGTCACAAGATTAGATTCCTTGACAGTGATGGTCTCCTTGGTTGTAGTGGTTCCTCGAGAGCATGATTGCTTTTGGCAAATCAGATGATTTCATTATTAACTTAAGCAACATAAGCTGATATTCAGGAAAGTTAGTTCTGTATTATGACTCTATTAAAGTAACCAAGAAAACATTACATTGTACCGAGATATCATGTGAGAGCAGCATTCGTGCCATCACAAGCAATGTGTTCGGTGCCACCTAGTGTTTATGAGGAGCACTTGTGAAACTGTTGAGCCACACCATCTTGACCATCAGGATATAGTAATACTGTACATTCCTGAGTGAAAGGATGGTGATTTAAAACAAAATCCATGACAAGTTACTGGTAGCTTCTTGCCTGTTGTACAGGTTGTCGGTGGAATTTGTTGATAAATGTGAGATTTGTAAGTTAGGTCTCAGCATGTATATATAGAAGTTACCATTTGAGTGTGTAGATGTCTTGAGAAACAGAGGGAAAATTATTTCTTGCAACTGAACCTTACTGTCTGTTGACATGTTGTCTAAATATTGAAGGACTGAGCTGTTCTTATGTATAAGTAGCCAATTTCGTTCAGTGTTACTTAAAATGTTCATTATGTACAAGAGGCTTACAGTATATTGTTCACGATATTTTGATATGTTCCAAAGAAATGATGCGACCTCAAAATACAGTAGTTTTGGTGTGATTATCTTGAGTCATTCTTAACATGATTTTTTTGGACCATTCATTGTATTTCTTGGATGCACTAGTTATATCTGCAGATTTTTAAAATTTCAGGAATAGATTAAGAACATTCAGTCACTGTATTTATCAGTAGTCATTATCAACTGTGCTTAATCATGAGATAATTGGATTAATCTGCAGGAGAGATGATAGTATTAAGCATACATGACACTCATTTGCACTGGCATGATGTATAAGTTATTTTATTGATCTGACAATATAGTAAGTCTATGATGACTGACGGACAGAAAAATAAAGTACAAAGTAACATGGCAGTAAATTTATTCTCTGAATTTAACAGTGATGGTAGAAGGAAGAAGGTGATTAATATAGCCAAATATGGAGATGCTGTGAGCCAAGAAACAAGTGACTTGGCAGTAGAATTTCCAGCATTAGGAGAGTCAATGTGTCAAGTAGGTTGCTCAGGCAGCAAGCCTCTTGGCTGCAGAGACAGAGACTAACTGCACTGATTACAAAAGATGAGATGGTTTCCCACTGTCTGAGACAAAGCCTCTTAGGTTTATTGAGGTTTCTTTTATCAATGACGGTTTCCTCAGTATAAAACTCACAGAAGTTATCTAACTCCTAGATACAACTAGGCAAACAATTAAAATGAGGTGTAAGGAAACATATTAAAACATCTGACTCTGCCTGAGAATTGAACTTAGGACTGGAGCCAGAGATAGCAACACTAGGGAAATTGGGGAAGGTGCTTGAGATAAGGGGTCCAGATTGAGGTGGAGGTGTGGGGGTGGGTCAGCAGGCAATGTTGCCATAGGCAGGGCTGTAGTAGGCAGCAGCAGCATTGGTAAAACTGAGAGAGGTATCAGTGAAGTGTATCACATAAGTGTTGATATGTTTATGTTAGCATCAAAATGTACCACCTCTCTGATGATATTTTCATGCATTCCCCAGTATTCGATAGTGAGACCTGTTGGCTAAAGTGATCTACTGGATAATTTCAACCTGGGCAGTAATGTACATGGCTTGTATATTTAAGATCACAGTGCATGTACATTGATCACATGAAGGGATGTGAGGCATTGTTGGATAAACCTCCATCTTTTCCACAAAAGAGGTCAGAGCCAGCATGAGTGTAATAGTAAGAGGCCTGTTAAACATATGGATCTGATAGACACTGATGAAACTATGTATTGAAGGTATTGTTGTCATAGAGTTGGCAGTCGAATTTGTGTGCATTGAATAAACTGGGTCATTGTATGACTGCTAATGATTACATCAGAAAAAGGTGATTTCATTGCTGCTGCATTGACATTATCAGTGTGGACAAGGGCACCTTTGA